GTGATTTCATGTGTGTTCAAATTAATTTAACTTTTTACATGTTATAAGAGTGATAGAACATTATTTATTAAAATAATTTCTTTAAAACTACTAAAATATTCAAGATGGTAAATGAAAATGGTTCAATAAAAAATAATACAATTTCTTACATGTTTCCAATTGACATCTAAAAAATGAAATTTTAAGTCACTATCCTATTAAATTAATACAACTTAATGAATTTTTTTTTTATTATCAAACTTAACTAGAAAAAGAAAATATTAAAAAAGTTATGTGAGGCGGGATCATGCGGGGCGGGTTTATGCGGGACGGTTGAAAATGAAAAAAATTATGCGGGTTAAACTCAACCCGCCTCACCCCGCCCTGCACCACCCCATTGCCATCCCTACATACATATTTAGTTATAGGTGTGCTAATAACTCTAGTTTATACTTTCTCTGTCCCTAATTACTTATCAACTTTTCCTTTTTTAGTTATCCCTAATTACTTGTCCATTTTGACAAATCAAGAAAGGACAATTTTTTTTACCTATTATACCCTCAATTAATTACTCTGAAAATTGTAGAACTTTTTGAAACTCTTAAGTTTTTAATTCATCCATTTCATAATTAATAGGGGTAAAATGATAAACTTACTATGTTAATAATTATTTTCTTAATAAGTGTATCAATTCAAAAGTAGAGGGACAAAGGGAGTATTTTATTTTGGAGTGAGAAAGGAAAGAGAGAGAGTCAACAGTTGCCAAGGAGAAGTAACTATAGAATTAATTTATTTATTTAAAAATTAATAGAGAAAATGGTCAAGTCCCCCCAATCTATAGTCCGATTATTAACTACACATTCATATTTTACGGTGATTCTATACCCCTTAGACTATTTTAAAATGGAATTATTTGCTCCCTATGTGCTGAGATGACAAGTAATATGTAGTTTGCTCTCTTTGAGAGAGTGGGAGCAAAACCAAATAATAAAATTTTAACTGTATAAGTGTTTTTTTATTTCATTATTAATTCTCTACTTTTGATGTTTCCTCTTCTTTTTTTTTTTTAAAAGTTTATTTAATTTTTTTTTAAACTTTTAACGTTCCTTTTCTTCTTTCTATTTAACGAAGAAACACCAGCAACAACATGGGTTCCAGCGGCGGCAAAATCATGTGAACTTCACTCATTCACCACCAAGTCTCTGTTTTCATCGACCTTCCATCATTAAGCTCCCTCTTACCTTCAAATCACACACGTCTCACATTAGCTCAATTAAAAACTCACCGGAAATAATTATTGTTACTCCACTATGTGAGAATAGACCAATCAACCATCAATTTCGCTGTGAACCACCACTTAAATCACCATTGCCACTTTCTTTGTAGCTTCAAGATTTTTAAAGTAGGAGATGCAGATTCAAACATAAACACAAAATTTAAATAGTTAGGTGTTGCATCTACCTTCCTTTTTCAGATCTGATAAAGCTTTGACTATCAAATCTACAATAAATATCGAATAGTACAAAAATCTTACAATATCTTCATTTTAAAGATTTCTACCCAACTAAACTAAACTAAACTAACAGCATCTAAAAATCTAATCCCCAAAATTGATCAATTTTTTGGAGCATTGAATTGTTAATGATTTTGAGTGAAATTTCTTAAATATCGAGAGAAAAAAGAGGAAATGGTGTAGAAATGGAGATTTTGAAGGGTAATTAGGCGATTATTGAAAAACATTTAGTAATTGATTTTTATACATTAAAAAAATATATATTACGTGGCGGGCGCATGTCCATCACCATTTAATGCTTATCTGGGGTGAGTTATTAGGGAATTATATATTCCACTTTTAAAATGTTTGGGGGTAAAATATGAGTGTGTAGCTGCCAATCCGGTTATAGGTTGGAGGGGCTTTTGACAATTTTACAAAATTAATATCTTGAAAGGTCATTTAATTTTGAGAATAAATAATAATTTATTTTATCATGTTAAGATTTAGTTAATGATGAATTTAGTTGAGTGATTTTTTTAATATAAAAGTCTAAGTTGAGTGATTTTACTAATACAAAACAAAATTTAATGACTTTTCTAGATACATTCTCAAAGTTGAATGACCTTTTGAGATGTCAACTCCAAGTTCTTACGACAAAATTCCTAATTTTCCTAACTTTATTTTCCATTAATAACTATATTGTGCAACCGTCCCATCAATTTTGTTCTTTCATATACACCTTGGTCTTCGAAATATTCTTTAAATAGTCTGCATAAGACAATTACATGGTTTAAATCCACTTCCATTTTCTCTAATTAATTTCTTATTTTTTAGTAATCTCAATTATGTCAATTCTAATTAGAGTAATTTAAAAACCATTCTGTCATTTGTCTAGAGATCATTAATTGTAATTTAGCGTCTTGTTCATTTGTCGTGTGCAACGAAATGAAAGGACCCGATCCACCAACTTCCATAGTTAATTCTCCGTCATCAACTTCAATTATTTTTAACCAACATTTTTAATTCACAATAATAATATCACTCTTTTGTTTTGTTAAGTTGTGCATTTGCAAATAAATTATTCTGACGCCAAAATGATTACGATTAAGGGTGTATTTGGTGTGGTGGAAAGAATTTCAATGGAAAATGTTTTCCATAGCTCAGTTGGTTGGTAATCGAACTCTTACCTTGTTTCCCCTCTCCTGTTATTCTTTAAAAAATAAAATTTCTTTTTTGAAAAAATAAGTGTTTTCTTTAAATTTTAATATTGATATGTAAACAAAAAATATTATCCCAAAAACATATGTAATATATCATATTACGATAAAGGTGGGATAAGGTGGGATGTGGGGGTTCACGAGTGATGGGTTGGGTGCTGTTGGGTGGGTGGGAGGAAACTATAGACTTGAAATATCACTTGTGGATTAATAGGAAATATGTTCTATTGGAAAAATCATTTTACTCATTTTTTAGGAATTTGTTTTTCTAAAATATTTTAACAAATCAACATGAAAAATTGAAAAACGTTTTCCTCTTACTAAACATATACCAAACACAGCCTAAGCTCAAACATTGCACAAAACATTGACTTCTTCTTCGTTTTCCCGTAAAATTCCAAAAGATATGATGGTGGTAGAGTAGGTGGATGATGGAAGGGAGAAAGGGTCAAGAAAAAGGAGAAATAATTTTACTTTTGAAAAAATAGAAGCTTTTCACGTGCCTTGAGTTATTGCAATACATAATATGTCACGTCAATAAAAAATATCAAAATGATATGGGATATCAATGTCTAACTAAAAATTGATATCAACTTTAAATGACCATCAATAAGTTAACCCTAAAATAAACTCATCTGATATGAGCTCAAAATATCTTCTTCTTTTCTTTAGCTTGCTTAATATTATGAAAATTATAATATAAAAAGCCAATTTTATGTTATTGGCTATTGCTTCTTTTTTTTTACGAACTATAACATGTAACTTATAAATCTTTTTCAAGTTATCAATATATTGAGTCTAAACAATTTATTTTTTTATGGTAATTAATTTCCGCATAACATGATAGTTTAAAAGGCAATAATTTTGAAGAGGAGAGAGACAAATGAGATAAAGAGAGAGGAGAGAAGCGAGCAAAAGTTTTGAATGAGAGATAAGAGATGCTAGAAATATAGATTGAATATTACATATAATTTGTATCTGAATTTCAATTGAGATACACATATATACATACACACATCATCTTTTCTCTTCATCAAATTTCACTCGCCTCTCTTTCGAAATCTCCCACATAGATTCAAATATAATTTTTTTGGTAAATAAGAATTTAATAAAAAGCTAAATCAGTGAATACATTACCCAGTTAGAAGAGCATTCCCCACGGATAAGAGTATTAGCCGTGGTATGTTCCTTCAGAAATAGTAGGGTTTCTAGCATCTTCCTTCACCAGTATGTTCGCTACCCTGTTCTCTTTCTAAATACGTGATGTAGTATTGCTCCTAGTTGTCGTATCAAAGACCTGCATTCAAATGTTATATTAGATTAACTCAAGGGGTACTTTAAAACTGAAATATAGATACATAGAGACATGCACAAATATATATTGTATCACCCCTAAAATATACATACATAGTTTTTTTTTCCTGATGATAGTTGTATCAATTTTTTTTTTGATACACAGATACAATACGATGGTATTTGTATCAGTTTCTTCTTCTACACAAATACAATATTTTTCTAATACATAGATACATTTTTTCTAATATAGAAATATAATTAGTTGTATCAATCGAAGAAGTAGAGAAGATTCAAAAGTGAAGAAGAATCTAATATATCTGATATATGTTTTTAGTCTATAGATATTCACCCGATGATACAGGTTGATAATAATTGTATCAGTTTTTTTTATACTCAAATAAAAAAAATAAAATTAAGACAATGTTTGAATCATTGTATCAGCCCTAAATAAATACATCTATATAATTTTTCTGATACTCTTTTTCAATAAGTAAATATAGTCTAATAATAGATGTATCAATTTTTTCTAATACAAACAAATATAGTTTGATATATAAATATAATTTGTTGTATCAATATGTGTCAATCAAATAAGAAAAGAAGATTCAAAAAGAGTGACACATTAGATACATATTGTGTCTGATGATACAAAAACTGATGAATGAAATTTTTTGATATACCTATGTTTATCCAATAAAAAATGAATCAGTAATTAGCAAGAAAATATTAAAAAATTTAAGACAAACAACCACAAATAAAAATAAAAATAATTCAGATAAAATTTTAACTAGATTTTGTACTAATACAAAAAAAAGGAAGGAATAGAAGAAAACTTCACAATGAATTGATTGAGATATTTGTTTATACATATGTACAGTTTTAGTGACTATGACAAGAACTTTTTTTTTTAGAAAAGTCGGTTTAGATAAATCTCATGTGAAAGAAAAAGGAGAGAGGAAGAGAGGCGAGAGAAAGTAGAGAGCCCGCTATAAAACAGTAATTCTATCTATGTTAGATAATATTGTGTTGAGTGGTCTATATAAGTGAGAAAATATATTCACAATTTCTGTAACAAAAAAAAAAAAACAGGGCAATATGAACCAAACAGAGGAATCCAAATTATCCAAGCCACATGCAGTATGCATTCCATTTCCAGCACAAGGTCATATTAACCCTATGCTCAAATTAGCCAAACTCCTCCATATCCGAGGCTTTCATATCACCTTTGTTAACACAGATTTCAATCACCGTCGATTGCTCAAATCCCGGGGTCTCAATTCCCTCGTTAGCCTACCTTCCTTTCGTTTCGAGTCCATCCCTGATGGACTCCCTCCCTCTAACGAGGATGCCACACAAGACGTTCCTTCTTTGTGTGAGGCATGTAAGAAGTCGTGTTTGGCCCCTTTCAGAGACCTCGTCACCACACTAAATCATAATTCCAATTTCCCTTCTATTTCTTGCATAGTCTCTGATGCTGCCATGAGCTTCACTCAACAAGTTTCTGAGGAATTAGGTGTTCCTAATGTTGGCTTTTGGACTGCTAGCGGTTGTTCCTTGTGGGCTTTCACACAATATCCAAAGCTTGTGGAACAAGGTTATGCTCCACTTAAAGGTATGAAAACCAACGTCTTATATTTATTTTAGACGATTAGACGTAGTCAGGATTTGATGTTGTTAGGTTGAGGATTCTAACTTTGACTTCTAAATTATTATACATATTAAATTTAGATCAAGGTAACAACCGTACCTTGGTTTCTTGCTCAACTACCGTCTATAGATTTTTTAAAGTTCGTTGAGTGTCCATTTGTAGATACTAAACTGTACTTGGTAACATCCCTAGTTAGCCATTCCGAAATTAATTATAGTTTCTTTTAACTGGTTGAATTTCAGATGAAAGTTATTTAGACACGATTATAGATTGGATACCGGGCATGGAAGGCATCCGTCTAAAACACTTGCCAAGCTTCATCAGAGCCACAGTTGATGAACCAAGCTATATTATAATCAAATATATAGTGGAAGAAATCATGGACAAAATTCCCAAATTCTCTGCACTCATTTTGAACACATTCGACATGCTAGAGAGTGATGTTTTGCAACAAATTGCAACAAAGTTCCCTGTAGTTAATTATACTATTGGACCCTTGCATCGCTTTGTGTTGAATAATACAACTCAAGACGAAGACTTGAAATCAATCGGTTCTAATCTATGGAAAGAAGAAACTCACTGTCTTGAATGGCTGGACACGAAGAAACCAAATTCTGTTGTTTATGTGAATTTTGGAAGTGTTACAGTGATGAGCAATGAACAGTTAATTGAATTTGCGTGGGGACTTGCAAATACTAAAATGGATTTCTTATGGATCGTTAGATCCGATTTAGTCATGGGTGATTCAGCCATTTTGCCACATGAATTTCTCGCGGAGACTAAGGAAAGAGGTTTATTAGTTGGTTGGTGTCCTCAAGAACAAGTTTTAAATCATCCGTCAATTGGAGGATTTTTAACACACAGTGGATGGAATTCGACTTTTGAGAGTATATCATATGGTGTGCCAATGTTGTGTTGGCCTTTCTTTGCAGATCAACAAACAAATAGTTGGTTTAATTGTAATCGTTGGGGTATCGGGATGGAAATTGATAGCAATGTGAAGAGGGAAGTGATTGAGGAACTTGTAAGAGAGTTGATGGTTGGAGAAAAGGGTAAAGAGATGAAAGAAAATGCATTGAAGTGGAAAAAATTAGCAGAAAAAAGCTATAAATTCTTCAGATGGATCATCTTACATGAATTTTGACAAGTTGGTTAGCCATGTACTATTAGGAAATTAAAGGGTCTTTCACCTTAAATTTCTTACATCAGATTGACAAGAGGTTCAAAGATTTAAGTTTTGTGAATGTCATGTTTCTCCAAGGTTGTATTATGTACTTGCAATAATTGATGAAAATAAACTTTCCATTCTTGCTAGAAAAACACTATTATTTCGGACGAAAATGATCTCTTATGATCACTTATAAATTGAAGAGAAAAAGAAAATGACATTTTCAGATTTTTTACGAAACCAAATTGTCAGATCATGTCAATGTCTTATGAATATTTTTTCAAACACATGTGACATGCCTATACACATCCGGATGACAGGCGGAGCAACATGCATAGGATGAGGCCTGACCAGTAAATATTTCATTTTTAAAATGGAAAACGAAAACTGTCCATTAGAAATGACTTTAAAACACCATTCTTCCTTTTATTGGATCAAACTTTTTCATACCCCCAAACCCTTTCCACCTATTAAATCAAAAAAATTTCCTAACGTATTAGAAATGATTCAAAAAATGCGATTCTTCCGCCTGTTGATTCATATTCACTTGTGACATTATATATTGCCCCTCAACTAAAATGCTGAGGCTTTGGGATTCTTCTTAAATACCACCTAATTCCCAATTAATTGAATGAGGATGGCAACAATACCTATCAACCAAAGGAAGTACTTTGCTGTTATATCTCATTTTTCATCTATATAAAGCAGCAACCATCACCTAATTTTTCTTGAGTTGAAATTCAAATTGTGGTTATAAAACTTAAATAATAATTTATTCAAATTATTGAGATTAAGCGAGTCAAATTGGGTGGTCAAGACCCATCCCGCTTTTAAGCCCATTTGAGCCCAAAGTAAACTTGGGCAGGTTAGAACTCAATCCGATTTCTATTTAAATCCATTTTAATAAGAGCAACTTTCACATATAGCAAACATAAAAATCATATTTGTATGTTATAGCTATAGTTTGCATAATTGCGCTCCATTGCAAATTTTATATTTGCTATGGAGCTTTTGATTTGTATAATTCGCTAGATACATTCAATTTTATACAAATTGTTCAGTTTTGTATAAATTCATTTATGCATTGTAATTTGTATAATAAGATCTGTATTTGTATAATTATAAGTTTATAGGATGGAAATATATGTTTTTGTATTTGTATATACATTTTTCTCTCGCTTTATACAAACACAAACACATTTTATACATTTTATACCGAAATGTATAAAATGGCTAATTGTATACCGAATCAGATGGCAAAAAAAGGGGATGTTTGGTGTGAATTGCAAATAAAATAAATTATGACTATAGCATTTAATTTGAATTAATAGTTTGCTATTTCATACAATTTTTCCTAAAAAAAACTGATACAATTATTATCAAACGTTATCATCCGATGAATATCCAATAGACTAAAAAACATATATCAGATATATTAGATTCTTCTTCATTTTTGAATTTTCTCTACTCCTTCGATTGATACAATCAATTGTATTTCTATATTAGAAAAAAAATGTATTTATGTATTAGAAAAATATTGTATTTGTGTAGAAGAAAAAACTAATACAACTATTATCGTATTGTATCTGTGTATTGAAAAAAATTGATACAACTATCATCACAAAAAATAACTATGTATGTATATTTTAGGGGTGATATAATATATATTTGTGTCTTTGTGTATCTATATTTCAGTTTCAAAGTACCCTTAAGTAAAAATGTAATCGCCATGATTACAAAGGATGCAACTACTTTACGCTAATATAATCTTTGAATGCAGGTCTTTGCGACGACATTTAAGAGCAATACTACATCACGTATTTAAGGAAGAGAACAGAATAGAGGACATGCTGGCGAAGGAAGATGCTAGAAACCCCACTGTTTTTGAAGCATAAAGCACAAACATCATTTTTGAGGCATAAAGCACAAATATCGTAATTGCACTCCTCTATTTATATTTTAAAATTTATCATTAAATACTTATGAATTTTCTATGTTAAGATTACAGATATTAATCAATAAATTAAATTACTGACGAATTTAATTCAATGATTAATTTCCTTTAGAGCACGGCTTAACTTATTTCTTGTGTTGGATTCATAAATCCACTTGCCAGGTTTGACACGATGAAAGCTTATAAGCTTCTCAAAAAAGGCATGTCATCATTATCTATATTGAGACATGGATTCCATCAAGTAACATATAATTTCACCAATATATATTATTATCATCCAATCTACTAGTCATATTGACTCATATGAGAATCTCACCTTTTAATAAATCAAAATAATAATTAATATATACAGATCATGATAGTTATATCAGGATTGACAATATAAGTATATTTAACAGTTTAGAGCATATGTTTTTGTTAGTCTGTCTAAAACAACTATCTCTACTCGGTCCTGTTCAATACATACAAAATGCACTAGCACAAGAAGTTGAAACTATACCGTTCCCATAATCAAGATAAATTATACATAATCTTGTTCTACAATCGTACCGATGGCATGCCCAATTTCTATATTAGATTGTGAACAAATAAATTTTATACTTATAAGAACGATGATTTAATCCTTGGTGTATAGGCTAAAAACTCTATACACTAAATCATCTACTATACAAGTAAACAGACACCATAAACGAATATATGATCTATTTTTATTGTTATGTAGTCATCACTGAAATAAGTTTCCACCCTATTGTACTTGGCAGGCTCCTTAGGGAGAACACACATGAGATCCGCTGCAATATTGCTTATGCGTGTCCCTCTTATCGATTATTAATATCCCGAGATCCAATACAACTAAAGATTTTCGCTCAACCTTTGTTTCGCCTAAACAATTTCATTGCCTCACTCCGCTCGCCTACAAAAAACGTATTTCATTCGCCTACAAATTTTAAACATATGGTTACTAGTATATATCCCAATAATCTTCCACTTAGACATTTAACCATCACAAATTATTATATTGTATTATATCTAAATACGTAGTTAATAGTATATACCATAACAAAAATAAATTATATAAATTGAAACGAAAGGAGAGAGGATAACTTTTTTATTGAAGTTTAGAAACCTACCATCACAACTTGTAGTTCTAGTCTAGTGAAGGAAGTTGTTACGTGTGGTAAACTTGTGATGCATAACAATTGACACAAAAACGATAAATTAGGAAAATGATTTGTTCTCTTTGTACCATTTGATTTGTGGTTATAAAATATACAAAGGGTTAGTGACAAACTGACAATTAGACAATTAATTGTCAGTCTCAGTCATTTGTTTTACTTTTGAAACTTAATGTAATACTAATATATTCAAATTAATTAAAATTAATTTGAACTGATAAGCTCAGTGATTCATGTCCTTGTATTTTAATGTTTCATATCTATCAATTGAACATGAAAGACACAAATAGCCAAGATTAATATTAGGTGTAATATTTTGTACGCTTCTTTCGTGTCTTCATTAAATTCCATAGGATAAATTAAAATTCAACTTTATACCTATCCGTTCATTTCACATTTATAAGCATAATATTATTTCTACTACGTACTGAAGTTGAGATTGTGTGTGCCTTAGAAACACTGCAGGCACACACAATGGGAACTTTTTTTTATTAGGAAACCTTATGCCTTAATGGCTATTCTGAAGGCCATACCACAACTAATACTCTTATCCGTGGGAAATGCTCTTCTAACTATGTAGTGTATTCGCTAATTTAGTTTTTTATTAAATTCTAATTATTTATCAAAAAAAAAATATGTGAATCTATGTGGGAGATTTCGAGAGAGAGGTGAGTGAGATTTGATGGAGAGAAAAGATGATGTGTGTATCTCAATTGAAATTGAGATACAAATTATATATGATATTCAGTCTATATCTAACCTCTCTTATCTCTCCTTCAAAACTTTTGATTCTTCTCTCCTCTCTCTTGATCTCATTTGTCTCTCTCCTCTTTAAAATTATTGCTTTTTGTTATGCAGAAACTAATTACCATAAAAAATAAATTGTTTAGACTCAGTATATTGATAACTTATAAAAAGATTTATAAGTTACCTGTTATAGTCCGTAAAAATAAAAAGGGAAAATTGTATGAAGTAACAAACAATTAATTCAAAATAAATGTTATAACTACAATTTCAATTAATTCTAATTCGTAGCTAACACTTTGTCATTCGCCTCCCTCCCCAGAAATCTCGCTCGCCACTCTCCCTCTCCTCTTTCACTTTATACAAACACAAATGTATAAATGGTGTTTGAGTTTGTATAAAGCGAGAGAAAACTGTATATACAAATACAAATACATATCTATTCGTCCTATACACTTATAATTATACAATACAAAGCTTCCTTTGTATAAAGCGAGAGAGAGATTTGTATACAAAAATACAGTTACATAGACATATATAGATTTATATTTAAATACATATAATATACCTATACGACTGAAAATTACAACGAAAAAAAATATACTTATACAACTTACAACCAAGTCAGTTTCTTATTTGTATATAGATTCCAAATATATACTTATACAATTGGAATGAATACGAAATATACAGATTAATAGCTCCATAGCAAACAAAAAATTTGTTGCAATTATGCAAACTATAACTATAACATACAAATATGATTTTTATGTTTGCTAAACCTAAAATTTACTCCTTTTCTTATACTCAGATGAAAAAAAACCATTAAGACAATGTTTGAATCATTGTATCACCCCTATATATATATATATAATTTTTTTTTTCTCTGATACACATATATAATATTTTTTGATATATAAATATAATTTGATGTATCAATATGTGTCAATCAAATAAGAAAAGAAGATTCAAAAGCAAAAAAGAGTCTGACACATTAGATACATACTTGGTGTCTAGTGATAAAAAAACTGATGAATAATTTTTTTTGATATACCAATGTTAATCCAAAAAAAAAAATTAATCAGTAATTAGCAAGAACAGTTAATTGAATTTGCGTGGGGACTTGCAAATACTAAAATGGATTTCTTGTTGAGAAAATCAACACATCGTGATGCCAAACAATCAAATTCCTCAATTGATGTATCTCAAGTTCACATGAGAAAGGAAGAAGAAAGTTCTGGAAGAGCAAAATGGAAAATAAACTGT